CCTTACATTAATTGAAATTACAGAGACTAATAAATGATTTCTAGGTGAAGAGTTGTAATAATTTTACCTAGAGATTAGTGGTAAACCCGTGACTATCCCTATCCCTAAAACGACTAGTTTCTTAATCATTTGCATATTTTATTTCATGGTTTTATTAGATAAGAGCTTTTAGGTGGGATGACAAATCTTTGGACACAAATTAATTACACGATAACGATGTAATAATTTATATATTTTTATGTTGGGTCTAATCAATTTAATGGATATTAGGGTTTTGTGATTTCGGGTTTAGGATTTAGTTTTGTTAAAATGTCATGTAATAAATTAAACATCCACGTTAAAAACAAAAAAAAGTACTATGTTACAAAATAAAACAATATGTTACAAAAAGAAAGTTCTCGTTTATACTATTGGAGCTTAATATATCACATCAATATTAACGGTACAAATAAAATGAATATATCGTTTTGGTAAAATTTTGTGATTGGTAAGCAGTATATCTTGTATCGCAGCTGTACAAGATCAATCAAAACCATTATTATATGGCAAACTGACTATTTAAATACACACAATCATGACCAATGACATATAGTTTTGTGTTAGTATCATCTCGAATTCATATATATGTATAGTGCTTATTGTTGGTTAAAAACACACACACAAAGAATCACAAGTAAATCTACAATTGTAAATGGTTTCGAAATTTGACTAAGGATGAATAAGATGAAGGAAAACAAAGGCCCAAAAGGTATGGCAATGTGGTGTGGACATACGGAACGAAGGCCATTGCCCATCCCTACGCGTATTCTTAAGATATTAAAATAAGGTTTGGGATATGGTATGTAAATGGGAACAAAAATCATACAATAAGAAGAGAGGAAACGAAATGGTCGGTTTTAGAGCATTTAAGAACATACACAATTATTAATGTAAGATTGAGATGACCGAGAGATGAAAGTGAAATATGATAGTGAGGTGTGTGGGGTTGATAGAAGTAGTATGCTCCTTGCTCCATCTCTATTGTTTTATAGGAAACTAAGGAATAGATTCAGGTCCAATGAATAATTATTAACGATTAAGATTCCTCCACACACTATTTAATGAAACACCATATGCATATTCATATATAGAGATTATAGACACATGGTTTAGGATAATTTTTGGAATTAATAAATGATATTAACTTATGCAGTAGATAAAGTGATGATGCGTCTACCAAAAATAGATTAGTGCACAAAGGGATGATCACTAAATTAGTTAAAGCATCCGTATTAATGATACGAAGTGGGTCTCAACCCATTAAAAAGCAATGAAAAAATTAGGCTAAATGAAATTTGGGCTTGATTCGTCTTACCCCTCTGAGTCGCTTGAGTCGTCTCATTATGTATAGTAGACACGTGTCGCACACACATTGAACCGTCGGTTTT